ACTAATAGAATTAGTGTATTGGCTAGTGCCCACAACACACAAAATCTGACCAATGCCGCTGATTATTCAGTAGTGGTGGTGAATATTCTCACAATCAGTTTTGTGGTGAAATATTTCTATCACTTGAATGAACTGATTTCAACCTCAAAATCAAAAGAATTGTGTATTCAGATCTTATGTTTCTTCTGCTGTCCACCTCATCTATGAATTAATCATTTACAAGGAGGAATTACTTGATAAGGGGGAGAAGGTTAAGCAAATGGGAATTTGGAAAGCACTCAGAGAATATTATATGCCATCAGATCTCTTAATGACCACAAGTGGTCCAAAGGCAGATGTCAGGAAGGGTTATGGGTACAGATTGGAGGACAGCTGGGGCTATCAGCATGGTGGTGGGAAGTATTTTTCAGAGTTTTGGGGAAATTCCCATGGTCTCTCTTATCACTGACTTCCCCACACTATCTATGCAGTCAGGATCAATTGAAATTCATGCTCTGGGCAAGATATTGAGTGAGAGTATATTGTAGCTTTTTATTTCCTGTATTTCTTACCCTGCTACTTTCTAAATGGAAGGCTCTTTTTTCTTTTGTTGTTGATTCAAAACCAACTCATGATAACTAATGCTTGTGTTCAGCAGAAGTGCCCTGCTCCTACAGCTGCCATTAATAACAATTCAGACACCTCCAACATTTGGCTACACGCAATGGGCAATGACAAGGGATTGATAGTTGCTGGTGCAGCCAGACAGCTGGTGCACTCAGTAAGTTGGGGGGGAATTTCAGAGTGGATCTGTGCGTTTTTTGCCTTAGTTCAGGGCAACATTGCAGTCAATATGTGCAGCTGCTGGAATTCTGTTGCACTTGGGATGAATAAACCGTTTTCTTGAGAATAAAAATGAACAGCAAGAAACCACAAGGTATTTCTGTGGGAGATGCGTAAGACAAATTCTTTATTTTATTTTGTGCCATATATTTTATGCTTAAATATAATGGCTTGCTGGGTGCTTGTGGGCGGTCCAAAGCTTTCAGCTGATTTAGAAATTGAGACATGCTAGTCTTTCATAGTGTAGAAGTCCCAGATTTGGAGAATGATATACAAAATGTCACTTTCTTTGCATTAAGAATGTTTTTTTAAAAAACAGAACAATATTGTATGAACAGTACTAATTCATGGTACACTGCAAGGAAATGAATGCTAGCGCTATTTACCTCTGTTTATCAGGGCCAATTCTTTTATTTGGAGTGGTCTAATAAATGAGAAAGGGATGCGGGTGGCGCTATGGGTTAAACCACAGAGCCTAGGACTTGCTGATCAGAAGGTCGGCGGTTTAAATCCCCACGACGGGGTGAGCTCCCGTTGCTACGTCCCTCCTCCTACCCACCTAGCAGTTCAAAAGCATGTCAAAGTGCAAGTAGATAAATAGGTACCGCTCTGGCGGGAAGGTAAACGGCGTTTCCGTGCGCTGCTCTGGTTCGCCAGAAGAGGCTTAGTCATGCTGGCCACATGACCCGGAAGCTGTACTCCGGCTCCCTCGGCCAATAAAGCAAGATGAACGCCACAACCCCAGAGTCGGCCACGACTGGACCTAATGGTCAGGGGTCCCTTTACCTTTACCTTTAATAAATGAGAAGGGTGTTTAGGATGTCTCTGTCTTTATAGCTTAATATGTCTACCAAGGCCCCTCAGCCAGGAGCATGGGACTTAAGGTTGTAGCCAACTAAGTTCTACTCAAAGTAAACCAGTTGAAATTAATGAATCTAAGTTAGGCAGCTTCATGAATTTTGGGTAGGACTAGAACTGGATACAACTCATAGTGTTCAGCCACATGTTTCCCATGACATCCGAGTAACCTATGAACTCTAAGCTATGTGAGGTGGGCTAGCAGTGTAGTTCTTCCCCCACACCTCTGATCAAGTGTAGACACAAGCAGGAGCCACAGCAAGGACTCCTGCGATGTGTCCCAGGGCTTCTCATACCACCCCAGTGACTGCCAGGAGCTTGCAAACTGGGGACTGGGTATGAGTTCCCCAAGTTGTGATGAGCCGTGTTGGATTAGCTGATTTGGCAACTGGGCACTTCTGGGTCATATGGGGTAGTGGGTAGAGAATCAGACTAGAGAGACCAGAGTTCAAATCTCCATTCCCTGTGTAAGTTAATCCAAGGTGTTTCTGACTTCAAGTATTCTTGTCTTGGTTTTAGCCCCCTCTTCGTTTCAGACTCAGCTCCATCTTCTGGATGGTACCTTGATGCCCATCTCAACTGGTGCTTGATCTGGTCCTTGGCTGTGACACTCACGTTCTTTGACATTCATTTCCCAGCTTAGCTTGCTCCCTGATAGTGGCCTAGAAAGGAATGGCCCCACAGTAGCAGCAGCACGCAATTTTTAGATGAGAACCCAGCCTAACAATTTTAGGCAATTTCAGAGCTCCATAGCATACCTGCCAGAGGAAAACTGGGACACATGTCTTTTGGGACTACAATCTCATGCAAGAGCATGGGCCCCCAAAATGGGATGTCCCAATTAAATCGAGACAGTTGAGGGGTATGCTATAGCAAGGGAAAGGAACCTTTTGTCTGCATTCCCTTTGGGAGAGTCTTCTGGTAGCCCCATGCCTATGGTGCACAGGGCTAGAGGCAAAAGTGGGAGAGAAACAAATGTGATTTTACCTTTGGACAGTAGACTAGTTTCTACACACACCCCAGTCTATCCTCCACCCAGGCAAACAATAGGCATTGTCAGAGTTCAAAGCTACATTCCAGCCATGCTAAAATACTCAGAGGAAACAAAGCAGTGTCAGTGAGGGGTGTGACTTGGGAAAAGAATTGTGGCCTCAGGAGAGTCCCAAGCAGGGCAGATAGAGATGTCTGGCAGTCCACATTTGGCTCCCAGGCCTGGGGTTCTCCGTTCTTCTTCTACAGAGGAGACAGTGATTCATTCATAAAGTTGGTGGTGAATCCTGATGTTTTAAACAGGACAAGAGTGAGTGATGACGGAGGCTTCCATTGACAACAATAAATGCTTTTGAAAAGTGCAAAGCAGGAGAGAATCCAATCGACTGTGCTTTCTTTTGAAAGACTTTCTCTACCCTAATCCTTTAACCTAATTTGCAGTTTTTAATCTTAGGCACTGGAAGCAACACAAGAAGGGATGAATATTAAAAGGAAAAATATTATCTGATCTGTGATTGAAAGCCTTTTTTCTGATTCTTTCTTCATTTAAAGCCTCAATAGCAATGCAAAGGGGATAAGCGGATTTCCTTGATTTAGGCCACTCTCTCCAACAGATAAATTAACACGCCCGTGGTGTGCTTTGTATGTGTGCTACTGAAAAATGAAAGACAAACTCTGCCAAACCCAGTGAAGTGACACTGATGTAAAAGGATGGCATGTGTCACTTAATGAACATGAAAAAGCATGCTCCAGAAGGATTTTCAAGCCTTTATTCAACAGTGTAAATAGAATTACTTATATGGACAAGCATAATACATGCAAGTGATATTTCATAAGATGAAGGATCTTCCAAAAGGAGGAATGGATGCGTAGAAAACCCAGGCACCCAAGGATTGCTTAGTGCTCCGAGAAGCAGGAGAAAGTACATGTGCAATTGACTTGCACAGCTGTTGAGTGGAGGGATCCAATCCTGTGTGGTGCTGGCTAGTGCTCCTTTGCAAGCAGCTCTCCTGCACATACAGGAAGCAAGCCTCTTGGGAAGGAGCAGCGACCAGCACTGTGCAGGATGGGATCCTCCCACTTACTAGCTGGTAATAATAATAATAATAATAATAATAATAATAATAATAATAAATTTTATTTATACCCTGTCCTCCCCGTTCAGGGCGGCTAACACCAATAAAATCACAGTAAAAACATAATAGGGGGGAAAGAGAAGGGGAAAAAAAAACAATTTAAAATACAGGTTAAAATGCAATTTAAAATGCAGCCTCATTTTAAAGTAGCTGATAAATCAAGACCATAAGGGGAGGGAAACATAAGGGTCAGACCGAGTCCAAACCAAAGGCCAGGCGGAACAGCTCTGTCTTGCAGGCCCTGTGGAAAGATGTCAAGTCCCACAGGCCCCTAGTCTCTTGTGACAGAGCAGTCCACCACGTTGAGGCCAGTGCTGAAAAGGCCCTAGCCCTAGTTGAAACCAATCTAACCTCCTTGAGGCTTGGGACCTCCAAAGTGATGTTATTTGTGGACCTTAAGGTCCTCCACGGGGCATACCAGGAGAGGCGGTCCCATAGGTACATGGGTCCTAGGCTGCATAGGGCTTTAAAGGTCAAAACCAGCACCTTGAACCTGACCCTGTACTCTACCGGGAGCCAGTGCAGTTGGTAAAGCACTGGATGAATGTGATCCCGCAGCAAGAACCCTGTAAGGAGCCTCGCCGCCGCATTCCGCACCAGCTGGAGTTTCTGAGTCAGCTTCAAGGGCAGCCCTGCATAGAGCGAGTTACCATAATCAAGCCTGGAGGTGACCGTCACATGGATCACTGTGGCCAGATCAGGGCGAGAAAGGTAAGGGACCAACTGCTTAATACGGCGGAGATGGAAAAATGCCACCTTTGCTGTGGCTGCAACCTGCACCTCCATGGAACGGGAGGCGTTGAAGTTTACACCCAAGCTCTTGACAAAAGGCGCTGGCACTAATTGAGCCCCCACAAGAGATGGGAGTTGGCCCCCAACCCCATGTCATCCCGACCCAACCAGAGGACTTCTGTCTTTGAAAGATTTAACTTCAACCGGCTCCCACACAGCCATCCAGCCATCCATCCAGTGAGAGGACCTGAAGGAAAGCTGCTTGTGAAGCAGCAACCATGTCCCACAGGATTTATGCCTCCACTCTCAGCCTTCTTGTGTAGTTTACCAACCCTGGATGCCTTTCCTTCCTGCCTGATGTGCCACCTGCTGACAGCTATGGGTAGTTCTGGGCTTATCCAACCTGACGTACAGTGATCTGTGGCTGTGTGTACCACACTCACCTGAAGCCATGGGCATAGCCAAGAGGGGCAGCTCCTCCCCCCCCATCAAGTAAAACAACAGAAATACTTAAGTAACTGACCAATCACATTGGTTTTGTCCCCCCACTCCAAAAAAGTCCTGCCCACCCAAAAGAAATCCTGGCTACGTCCATGCCTGAAGCCCTTCAAATATTGGCTTGGATCTTAGCCAAACATTGGCTTGGATCTTTGCCAAATCCAATGCACAGTCCCAGTTTCTCCTGCAAGGATCCATTTCCCCCCAGGGCTGAAACAATTTGTCCAGAATCATTCAGCACAAGCTGTAGCCAATAGGGAAGATGTGGGTCATCAGGTGATGGAGGCAAGGACCGCAAACCTGAAGGGAAGAACATGCAGTGTATGGATATGTATAGATGCTAGGAGAGGATATATTTATCAGATATTATCCTTCCTTCCTCCCATTTGTGAGTTCAGCAGAGTGCAACCCTTTGCAGCTTAAAAGGGAAGCTTAGATAGGTTAGCTTTAGCCTTTTATTTTAAGTAATCCAGGATGCTTTAAGGCAGATTGGATTCTCCTGGTATTTACCCCTTTTCTCCCCTTAAATCAATAAGCACACAAACAATCTTGTAGAAGGTAAAAATAAAATTTACTCACTCAGAATACTTGTTGAAGAGTAACAGATACAGCAGAAGTCACCAGACCTTATATATAGTGAGAGGGTGGGGAGGGGTATTACTCAGAAGGGTGGTGGGAATGGGTGATTGGCTGATAGGTGTGGTAAACCTGTTGACGTCACCTATCAGCCAATCACCCATTCCCACCACCCTTCTGAGTAATACCCCTCCCCACCCTCTCACTATATACTGTATAAGGGTCTGGTGACTTCTGTTTCAGTGTATCTGAATAAGTGTGCATGCACACGAAAGCTCATACCAATAACAAACTTAGTTGGTCTCTAAGGTGCTACTGGAAGGAATTTTTTTATTTTGTTTCGACTATGGCAGACCAACACGGATACCTACCTGTAAGTAGCAGCTTTGTTCAGGCAGGCTTAAAATGGTAATCCAGTTACAAAGATATACTTTAGTCTAGTTTAAAATTGAGTCTGAGCAATGGAGCTCAGACATGCAGATGTTCTCATTGCTGGAATGAGGACAAAGAGCAAAGAGGAGGTGCCCAGCCAGGTGAGGAGATATGTGGTTATGCCCTTCCGCTGTGAAGGCACAGTGGGAGTAGCTCGCAGAGTTCTGTCTAGCAAACTTACAGGAAAACTCTTTGAGCCTCAGCTATTATCATGTGCGTATCTAGCAGACATGCATTGTTGGTTTGACTGCATTGTAAATATCCCACACCCAGGGTGTGTTCTAGATCCACTGCCACCAAATTAACCTGTGGGGCCAATGAGCACCTCCCCACCACAGGAGCTGGCACTTCCTTTGACACAAAGGACTCCATTGCAGAAGACCCAGGAAGAGCTGAGGCTCCCCCACTCTGTTGCAGTAGATTACTGGAGGTGGCTGCGCCCCTTTAAGTCAAGCAACATCTTGCAGCACAGGTACTGCTAAGCAAGTAAGCTGCACCTGCTACAGTATATAAGGTCTCAGCTTGTTCATTGCTGGATCAACTTCAGAACCCTGTGTTCCTAGAGCGCTGATTGGCTCCTGCTTTAAACTCAGGTTTTGACTTGTTTTGCAAACCAGAAATAGCTACACACAAATATATTTTAAGCAACTGAGGTCCATATTACACCTGACTGAAGCAAGAGTACCTGCAATGAAGTTTTGGTCTTATCTTTATACTGCACAGCACATCATGCATATGAGACATTCTTTTTTGGTACTTCCCAAAAGATTCTTGCTGTTGCAAAAAATAATAATAATAGATATACCATATCTGAATAGGAAATTATCCACAGAAAAAGAAAAGGGATCATGATGCTGAGGAAACCATTGCTTCCATGAAGTATACCATGTGTGCTGCAATGTCCCTTGAAATGAACAAACCACCAGAACATAATGGGTGGGTCTGGCAGTCCTCAACAAGCCATATGTTGGTAGCATCTGCCAAGTGGCATCTATCGTTGAAGCAGGTAATTTACTGTGCCGAAGAAAATGTGTTGTTGCCCGAATGTGTGGATTGATTTGTCAAAGTCTGAACTATAATAATTGGGACAACATTACAGATAAAGATTTCATAAGAATAGTTTGGATATACAGGCAAATAAAACATTTCTCCAAACTGTTGAAGGCTCTGGAGAGATGTGCTTGATGGGCTCAATCTTGTTAATATAGACCTCTGACAACTGGTGGTGGGCAGCTTCGTTTTCATTTTCACTTTCTCTCATCATTTTATATAAATTGTTGTGGGGGATTTGCTTGTTGGATTCAGTTTTCATCTACGTACCATCAGGGGTGACCTGGTGGCCCTCCATATGTGGTTGGACATCAGTTGTCATTGGCCTCGGTCAGGTTTTACATTCGTTTTGGAAGAAGAACTAAAATGATTTCTCAGTACAGAACAGAAAAGAAACTAAAGAGGTAAAAGAAACAGAAGAGACCTCTTCTGGTCTCTAACCAGCCCTCTGCCAAAGCAGGGAAACCAGCCACGGCTGCAGCAACCATGAGAGGTAGGCATGCTGGCCCAAAAATGGAAGCAAGAAGAATTACCAACGAAAGAAGAATGGCGGATGAAATTGATGGACTATGCAGAATTGGATAAATTAACAGGAAGGATTTGAAACCTGCGGGACCAGAGATACTTAGAAGACTGGAGTAAATATACGAACTATTTGAAAAGTAATTGTAATGAACAGATTATGCTAGTAGGACTGCAAGAAGTTTTGGAAAGAGGACTATCTGAAATATTGCAAGAAAGACTATGAGGAGAATTTTTCGTTAATGATAAGAGTAATAGAGAAATTAAGAAATGCAGAATAAGTGATAAAGAACGGAAAATCATCAGAGGTGTTGACGGAAGTCTAAAACATTGTATAAGATAAGAAGTTATGCTATACGATTGTTGGAAATGATATGTTAAAAAACATATATATATATATATATATATATATATATATATATATATATGAGAGAGAGGTAGGCATGCAGACTCTGCTCAGAAATCTCAACGGAAGAAGAGTGTTCCATGTTCTCAAACAGCCTGTTCCACTGGTCAATAAAAGGGTATTACATGGATGCTTTTCCTACCCTACCCATGATGATAATGGATGGCAAATGCAGTAGGTCTGGCTTACCACTCCTTGAAGTAAGTGAAGAAATTCACATTCTTTTCCCTTCCCATTAGTCTGCCAAGGCTGCAGCCCTAACCTCACTTGACCTGAGAGTAAGCCCCACTGAATTCAGAAGTATTTACTTTTGAGTAAAGAGAGGTTAGGATTGCAGCCTTAGTGTAAAGACTTTGGGAAAGAGCCAGTGTACAAAAATATTCCCCTAAAACAATGGCAGGATACCATATGAAAAAGTCTTCCTCCCTCTCTCCAAACAGCACAGAGCCAGTTCTACCAATGACTTTTCACACATTCTTTATATCTTGTTCCTTGGCAGGCAGTAATATGTTTGGCGCATATGGCACTTTTATTATAGCACCCAGCAATAATCTTGAAAAATGCAGCATAATTAGAAGAAATCTGAATAGAACATGTTAGGGAGTAGACTCATTATTTCTCAGAAATACCATAAAATCCTATTTCATATGATATTCTCTTCCAAAGCACTACACTAGCTCATTTTGGCACATTGAAAATGAATCACTTCTTCTGATTGTCTGGTCCAGGGACTCAAATAAATCACCATTTTCCTTCCAGAAAACTTGGTTTTTTTAAAAGGAGGAGGAAATAATTTCCAGATACCTTTTTCAAACTCCAATGCATTAGGCATGGGAACAGCTGTTGATAGCAGCCGAGTTATGCTGAAGACTTAATGCCCAGCACATCAGCAGGGAACCTTTTTCAGTTAAAGATCCAAATAGTGACCAGTGCCGAAAGCAAGAATTGTGTGGAGGAAAGCAAGACAAAAGTCAGAGACATCTATCAAAACATTCATTCCATCAATATACTGGAATATTGCAATCATCAAACCACTTTTTATTCTATCACAAAAAATCTGACATTGGTTTAAGATCCAGAATGGCTCTGAAATATTTCCACTGTGTGGAAGGTGTTTTGCACAATTTTTTTGTGGCATTCAGGATCTGTGGTTTGAGAAACATACTAAATCAGGCTCCCCCACATTCAAATGTGATCAGGCTGACAGCTAGTCAGTCATTAATCTTGATACCAGTCTGTCCACTGCCTATGATCTACCAGAGAGGCCCTTAGCTATACTGGGCTCTCCCTGGGGAATGCAGGACCCAGGGAAAATCAGACTGTGAGGGTCCCCCGTTGCCTTCACTTTCTCCCTGCCTCTACCTTTGGCCCCCTGCCCCCACCATGGCAATGGTGACATAACTAGAGCAGTAATAAGACATTCATTTTCCTTTCATTGCATGCAGCCCAGTTTCTGTTCCGCTGTAGTTCATCTACTGCCAAGTTATTCACCTTGCAGTCAGTCCACTGTGCCAAAATTACATAACTTAATTTATGTAATCAATTACTTAAATTACATTCTCATCACATTCTTCATCCCCATTCATTTCAATATGAAGGAAACACAATGGAAAGGAGGGGGAAATGTAATCTGTTATGTATCCTTTGTTGAAAGCAACAACTGTGAGTACTGAGTATTCACTGGCTCAGTTTCCATTCTTGACATGAGGTGAGTAAGTCAACACCAGCAATTTCTGCTCCCATTTGTCAAAACTCTCCAACATCCCATTCGGAACCAGCAGGACCAGACTTTCCTAAAGGAATGGAAGAAGCTTTCGATGTATTTGGAAAGCAATTGTAACCAATTGACATCACTTGTAGGGTTAAAATAAGTTTTGTAAGGAGTAATATACAGTTATTAGGGTTACAGATGCTTCAGATTGTGTTTTTTCGGGTTGCCCACCAGGCCAAACCCGTAAGTACTGAAATTGGTTACTTCCAGGTTTCGGCACTTGAACATGCGCAGAAGCACTAAAATGCGCTTTGTGGATCCCACACAGATCACGTTCGCAACCCAAGTATCCACTGTATAAATTATTGTGAAAAGAATTAAGAAAGGTATTAAGATTTGAATTTATAGCAATAACTGTAGTAACAAAATGCATAATTAGAAAGGATTTTAGAAAACCATCAGTTGAGGTTGAAGGAAGTCTTAGGCTGTGATGCTTAAAAGGATGATATGCTGGAAAATATGTGTAAAAACCAATAAAAAATATTTTTTTAAAAAAAATACACAAAACTCTCCAACATCCTGAGGCAGAAATATCACTTCCTCCACTCCTCCATTTACTTTTTGATGTTGTTTTGCTGATTCTTTAGTGGTAGTAGCTTCTAAATCCTTACTTGCTCCCCCACCACCTCTGCTGTATTAGCAGCAGGAACACTGGTGAGTCCTCGACCCCTTCCCTCCCTCCCTCGCTCTAAGAAGGAGGGGTGCGGAGAACCTCACCAGGTAGCTGGGATGTGAGAGGGCTGGCCAGGCAGTGGGGCTGTAAGCTGTAGCCATCAGGTCCAGGACAGTATCTCTCATTGCCCCTCCCCCCCGGGGTAGCCCTCTTTGTGTCCTGGATGTGGTGGAGGCTCAGCTGATGCAAGTGACAAAGAGGTTTTTCTCATCCTCCATCTTTCTCGATTGCAATCTGGCAATGCCAGTTAGGCACTTGGAGTGCGGGGTATATATTATATAAAGGAATGGACATTTTAAATATTTCAAATCTATATGGAAATGTTAGGTTGCTTTGAATTACAGCAAAA